GGAGCACACAGAGAGGGTGTTGATGTATTATTACTCCATATATTTCTACACTGGGGTTTCCATAAGCATGTATTACACACAGATTGCACAATTTTCTGAAGTGAAGATAAAGACCATATTAGTCAACTATTGCTACATTACAAATTATTATGAACTTAGCAACTTCAAATAATACACACATATTTTCTTTTTGTTTCTGTAAAACAGAAGTGCAGGCACAGCTGGGTTCAGTTCTCTGCTTAGTGCCACAATCAGCTGCAATCATGGTTTGACCAGAGCTAGGATCTCATCTGGAGGCTTCCGTGCTTTGTGTGGGGGCCAATGGCGTTTGGCTCCTTAGGACTGTGATTCACGCAGCTGCTTCTTCAGAGCCAGCAAGCAAATTCCAGCAAAACTCAAAAGCAAGTATGCTAGCAAGATGGAGGTTCATATAACTAATGTAATCATGACTGACCTCTCATCACCAATACCACATTGTACTGATTAGAAGCCAGTCGAGGTCCTGCCCACACTCAATGGGAGGAGATTATAGAAAGAACAGCAGGAGGAGGATCATGGGCCGCCTGAAAGTCTCCCTACCACAAAGACAAGGTCACTACCAGAACTCCACAGTAAGCATCTGAAGGATGACCAGAAAGGCAGTATGTACTGACAGAGTTCACGAGATGTGGCACTGAATCAACCACACTATGCATGGGTGAGATCTAAGTCAAGGGTCCACTTAGTAACATTTGATAAAGTCATGCTCCAAACCCATATATTACTGAAGTATTTTGATGTCAAGAAAATAGGCATCTATTTGACAGAAAAATACAACAACAGATCTATAATGAAATAGCCATGTGAATTGGAACAATGGTTCTTCTAAAAGAAAACTAAGTAATAACAGGACCTTAAACCAAATAACACGAAACAAGAAAGGAAAAAAGAGAACCAGGAAAGAACTAGTTATGTGCAGAAGCTGTTTTTGGTGTGAAATACCAAGCACAGGAGTGTATACTGTATATGTGATAGAAAAAAAGAAAGCATGGTAATAAGTCGGATAGAATATACCTCACAACACTTCTAAGTGTCTGGAAGGAGGCTGCTACCACATCCTACAGAAGAATAAACCTAAAGGACAGTGTCATCTCCACTGAAGAGGGAGTCCTAACACAAAGGCTTCAAAAGGACTCTGCATCTTTAATAATATAAAAAGGCTAGCACACAAACAGCATAATCTAAAATGCCATTAGAAATACTTCACATACAAAAAGGTCTAAGTAAAGCAGAGTTTTATAAAGTGATCAAAAAAGAAACACTAAGGGGGGAAAATCTTTTAAGATTAAAGAGGTTTTTCAAAGGACAAGTTGAAGTGGTTGTAAAATTTATGAGGCAGCATTAAACTTCAGTTCTAAGTAACAATAAATTATTCACTATAAAAACATACATGTGTCAAATATTATAAGCCTCTTAAACTTTTTAAAACAATTTTTTCCAGAATTGACTAGATGTATTAGGTCAACATTAGCAGATACTGACTTTTTCATTAGCACAGTATGACCACTTGGAGTAAAGGAGTAACTTCAGAGAAGAAATATGAAGACAGAACCATCAATAGGCTATTCACCACCACATCTGATCTGCTATCACGCATTATGCATTTGGCCTCAAAATAAATTTGGTTGGCTTTCACTAAAGTGAAAGTTTCATTATTTTAAATGCCTTCACGTATGAAAAACTATAAATACCTGCTAACTGTTATTCCTATGGATTATAATTTTAAATCAAACTGAAATTTTAAATAAACCAAGTACAAAATTATTAAGTTAAAAGAAACAAAAGTAAAGATATCCTGAGAGGTTTTGTTTTTGCAGCCCCAATTTGACCATTAGTCTTTGTGATACTCTGACATTTGGCCAGAAAGATATTTTAAGTTTGTCCTTTCCAGTTCTGTCACCTCCCTATGTTCCTTATGGAGTGTGAGGGCATCCCCATAGCCTATGTCCATACTTCCCTCAACATGTTCTAAAACTTGTGCTTCCCTCAACTTTTTACAAAATTTTCTCAGTGACAATATACCTGTGTCAAAGGATTTTCGTACAAATTAAATATGTGGCAGTGCCTAGTCACTCATTCATATCTGTACTCATCAAAAATACTTAAAAAAATTCCTACCATGCTCCCACTCAGTATGAGGGGCTGGAAACACAGCACAAATGGGACAAAAACATAGTTCTAATATCATATTTATAATCTGGTGCAAAGCTCAGATAGTAAACCTTTGTACATGTGATGAGTGTAACAGAATCAACAGAGTACCACGGAAGGCAACAGCAGAACCACGGAAACTGACCTGCAATGGCAGGGAGGGCAGTTTTGAAGCTGTGAGGTCTGAAGAATGGGTAGCATGGACCAGGACCACAAGAACTCCTGCTCTTCCCATTAATTACTTACTATATAATTGATAACTAACCACTCATATTTTAATCATTTTTAATTAAAATGTCATCTAGTTATAGTGACAAAGAGAAGTAAGTTATTGATTCCAATTGTAGAGATGCTGCTATGGTTTCATTTGCCAGATAAGTCACTAAGAGCTGAAGGAGAGTCCACTGTCTTTGCTCAAATTCTATCCTGTATTCTGAGGAGGAGAAGTGCATTCACCACCACGCCCTAGGAATCCCACATCTATTTGCTATCCTGAACCTTTGTACATAAATTAATCTGTACAAACACTTCCATAACTACACAGTCGCTGCACTGAAATTATCCATATACTTGCCTCTCTCCCCCATTCATCTAAACAAGGGTTATAAATCAAAAGTCTAGGCCAGCACTGTGGCACAACAGGTTAAAGCCCTGGCCTGCAGCACTGGCATCCCATATGGGTATCGATTCAAGTCCCAGCTGCTCCACTTCCAATTCAGCACCCTACTAATGCGCCTGGGAAAACAGTGAGAGATGGCCCAAGTGCTTGGGCCCCTGCACCCACATGGGAGACCCAGAGGAAGCTCCTGGCTTCGGATCAGCTCAGCTGCAGCCATTGAGGCCATCTGGGGAATGAATCAGTGGATAGAAGGCCTCCTTCCCTCACTCCATCCCTCCTTCCCTCTCCCTCCCTCTCTCTCTCTCTCTACCTCTCTCTGTAACACTTTCAAATAAATAAATCAAAGGTCTGTGAGACATAAACAAGTAACAAATGAGTGGTTACGCTGCCAAATACAAAGATATTCTTCATTTCCACAGACTGTCTCTCTCTTGCATCATATCGTCCCTCCTCTTCTACCTTTGTTCTTTGCATTTTTGATGGAAATACAGAAAAACAAATATTTCATTTGTCTCTTAACCCTAGTTAAGGGGGAAAAAAGCTCAAGCTCAATATAAAAAGCAATAGATCTCAAATTCGGTGTCCAGAAGTCGCAGGACAGTGAAGGAATACGACGTTAAGTGGGTTGCCTGGCAGTACTTGGCTCCAGTCTATGGCAATCTTCTGAAAAGATGGCAAGGTTTCCAGTTCTTAGGAAAAGTCAGAAAACTGGGTTTTGATATGAAATTCTCCAGTTGTTAATTTTGACGATTCACCCAAAAATCTTTAAATATACTGTATAACTCAAACAAAACAAACATATCCATAGAATTCATTCAGTCCAGGAAGATCTCCAATTTTCAATCCTGGTCTAAACTCCAAGACAGAGAGAACCACTTTAGTTCTCCTTTATACAATAAACTCCATAGTCATTACACCTAGAAAGAACCCAGTATTTAACTGGACTCCTAAGAAACATTTTGGCAAACAACTGATGGACTTTGTAGCCAAACTAAGAATTTTATTTTTCTTTGTATACTTAATGTATACAGATCAAATCTCTTTATAACTTCATTATGACTATAAAGTGAAGAAAAAGTGTACAATTCATCCCCTCTAATCTTAGTTCTCCTATGAATTAATATACAAATAAGTATTTAACACCACTTCTAAGAAGTCACGTGTTCATTTCTTCTTACTCTTCTGAACATATCCATAATTGTGTCACCTCTTCCTTTTTGGCCTCTCCACTTTATTTTCCCTTTCTAATGAACTAATTTCGTATGGACTGGCTCTCTTGTTTTGTGTCCATCTGTTCTTTTCTACCATATCATATCAGGTCTGAAGAAAACATAACCAGACTATATCAATTATGCAGACAATTCAAATTACTGGTAATATTAATTCAAATTACTGATAACATTTCTCTATCTGTAAAAGGTAGAAACAAAAAAATAGAGTGGATAAGAAAGATTACATTGTTAACAGAAACAAATTCCTAAAATTAAAATCACTAGGAGAAAGATGAGTGAAGTACAAAGCATGGGATGCATCAGCTGACACTGCCAATGTCTCAGCACTTCAGGGAAGAACGCCAAAAGAAAAAACTTTTTTTTAAGGTCCAAATTTAAATATATCCTACCTAATCACCAAAGATAATACTGTACCAATAATGACCTTTTTGTATATTTCAAAAATTTGGAAATTTGGTTGTACTAAAAATCCTATTTAAGTTTGATACCCTATTAAGAAAGCACAGTTGAAAGGTGTTTACATTTTCATTTATTGTTTTATTAAATGAAAGCAAATATTATTCAATGAAGGGAAAAGGAAAGAATTCAAGCATAAGCTTCAAGATGGGGCATGCAGGGTATTATATTATCTTGAAGTCACTGATAATGTTTTAATTCATGCTTCTCATAGGGAAAACACATAAGTGACCTACTTAAAGATTCTCAGGTACCACTTTTTAAGCAATGAAAATGTATATGAAGTTAACAAATATCCATAAAAGTAGTTTAAAATGTAAAATAATCTTGAATATTCAACAAATGAAAAGCAAAACTATTACTTTATCCACTCAATGTGCATTCAACTTTAACAAAAATATAAAGAAACCAACTATATACCATAAAAAAAGAAAGAATGCCTGAACCAGTTCCAAAGACAAGCTAAATTATGAAATACATTCAAAATCTCATTCATAGCATACCTGTGGATATCAGTTGGCAACTGTACCAAAGCGTTATCATCTCCAGAAGAAAGTTTCCATGATTCATTTAATTTGTGTTCACTTGTCCCTAGTTCACCCATTACCCAGTCTGGTAATCCCTCTGGGCTTGAACCTTTTGCTTGTGCTGGATTTGGTTCATCAAAATAGATGGACTGATTTTTAAAAATTAGAAAAATTATTCTTTCAAAATTTACTATAAAGAAACAATGAAAATTTCCATCAAGTTTCAACTTGGATAACAACTTTCAAATACTCAGCTAAAATCAATTATATACAAATATGTAAAAATGCATCATTCAAAACACAATTATGAAATATTAATACATAAATGAATACTTATATTTTGTGTCCTGCTATATATGAATTATGATAAACAAAGTTATATAAAAGATAAATATAAGTACTTATTTTTATTATAAAAGATTATGAAAAGTTAAATAGAACTTTCTAAAATTGTATGCTATCCTATTACTTTCTATGATTATGAGTTCACATAAAAATAAATCAATGGGCAGACAAACCATAATCCATTCAAATAAGAAATTAAAATTAACAACCCCTTCATAAGGTGGGAACAACAGAATGAGAAATGTGGAAACTAGTTTTGGTCATACTACACACTAGCTGGAAACCCAAAACAGGTCTATAGGTCTTTTCATTATTATTTTTGGAAACTAAAGCCCTTCCCCTATGATTCTATGAAAGCAAGTGTGAATGAGAAACCATGATACAATATACTCATATCTTAACATCTAAAGTGTGCTTTCAGGAAGTCCCCCCTTTAGTCATCAAGAAGAATGATACCTGCCCACTTATTTATCTTCAAATGAGCGAGGCTTCATGACATATTTCTGATGAAAACTGCACTAACGGGACACTTCTGCAACTCTCCCAGTCCCACAAAGGAACTCCCCAGAGGTTATTCCTTGCTGAAGGGTGCCACATGGCCCTCTACTCCAAATCAGACATGCATAACCATTTCTACTTAAGTGAAATACTCATTCCAAACATCTACCAAATATCATCAAGTCAAGGAACTACCATCCTAATGACTACTGTTCTTAACTTGAGCAAAATACCTTAATCTCCTTTAACAAAAAGTGAAGGCATTCCAATTTTTGACATTCTGCCATGGACAATAAGAACTATCCTCTACGGGCTGGTGTTGTGGTATAGCAGGTAAAGCCACCACCTCTGATGCCAGAATCCTATATGGTTGCTGGTGCAAGTCTTGGCTGCTCCACTTCTGACCCAGTTCCCTGCTAATGGCCTGGGAAAAGCAGAAGTTGGCCCAAGTGCTTTGGTCCCTGCCACCCATGTGGGAGACTTGGATAAGAGTACTGGCTCCTGGCTTCACCCTGGCTCAGCCCTGGCTCTTGTGGCCACCTGGGGAATAAACCAGTGGATGGAAGATTTGTCTCTGTCTCTATCGCTCTATACTATGCTTTTCAAATAAATCAATAAATCTTTAAAAAAAAAAAAGGAAAATATCACCTAGCGTGCAGCATGCCACTTGACTAAATTTTAATACAGAAAAATAATAAACTATATTGCACAATTTTGACATTCACACACAAAAATATGACTGTATATCCTAATAGTAACTACCAATACCTACACTTCAGCCAGATTTTTAGTGTTCAAACACAATACAAACCAAGTAAGTGATAATTCACCAACCAAGCAAAATAATAACTGCCTTTGTAACAAAGTTGATTTTGTTAGTGAAATGATGAGCTATAGAAAAATTGCTTCTTGGGCCGGAGCCGCGGCTCACTAGGCTAATCCTCCGCCTGCGGCGCCGGCACACCTGGTTCTAGTCCTGGTTGGGGTGCTGGTTCTGTCCCAGTTGCTCCTCTTCCAGTCCAGCTCTCTGATGTGGCCTGGGAGGGCAGTGGAGGATGGCCCAAGTGCTTGGGCCCTTCACCTGCATGGGAGACCAGGAGGAAGCACCTGGCTCCTGGCTTTGGATCGGCGTAGCGCACTGACCGCAGCAGCCATTTGGGGGGTGAACCAATGGAAAAGGAAAACCTTTCTCTCTGTCTCTCTCTCACTCACTGTCTAACTCTGCCTGTCAGGAAAAAAAAAAAAGAAAGAAAGAAAAATTGCTTCTAAACTCCAATTTACTGTCATTTTATTAAAATAAAAAAGAATTTTTAGAGACCACTCAATCCAACTTCTAATGAATTTTAAAATAATATTAATTATATATGGCACAGGCTTTTGGCCCAGCAGTTAAGCTGCACTTAACATTCCATACCTCAGTGCCTGATTTAAGTCCTAGCTTCTCCACTTCTGATCCAGCTTCCTGCTAATGTGTATCCTGAGCGGCAGCAGATGCTGGCTCAAGTACTTGGGTTCCTCTACCACATGGAAGACCCACACTGTCTCTGGTCTGGCTGTTAGAGGCATTGCATTTCTGAAATGAATCAGCAGATGGAAGATTCTCTCTCTCTCTCTCTCTCTCTGCCTTTCAAATAAAATATTTAAAAATGTATATGAAAGGAGTTTAATAAACTAGAATTTGCTGAAATACATGAAATTATCCCATAGGTAAGGTAACATTATGTTTGAAAATTAGTCTTTTTAATCAACTTGTTAATTTGAGAGGCAAAGATTACTGTAATATAATTCAATGAAAATTATTAGACTCAATATAAAAAAACTCATTTTCAGTTTTTTTAAAATATTGTAGAATACTAAGGGATGAATAAATCAGTAAGAATTTTCCCCTTACGGAATAACACCTGCTTTCTACTGAAGGGAGGGAAAAAAATGTTTTAACTATCATACAAGTAACAAGAGTACCTCAAAAAGTTCATGGAAACTGGAATTACAAGATGTTTATTTTGGTACAAATTTTTTTCTTCTTTTTTAATTTATTCAAAAGGCAGAGAGAGAGAATGCTCCCTTCCACTAGCTGACTCCCTTAACGCACACCAATGCGGCAGCTGAGAGCTGGGAACTCAGTCTAGGTCTCTCAAAGGGCTGGTAGGAAGCCAATCTGAGCCACCACCACTGCCTCCCAGGGTCCGCAGAGACAGAAAGCTGGAGTCAGGAGCCAGAGCCAGAGCCAGAGCCAGAAATCAAAGCCAAGAACTCTGCTATAAGAAGCAGGCATCTTCATCGGCATTTTAACTGCTAGGCCAAATGCCTGCCCCAGTACAAAAGTTCTAAATCCCCACATGGTTTTAACGTGGTAGTTTTTCCCTATGAACTTTTTGAAGACCCTTCATATTATCTAACACATATAATTTGACATTACTATTCCCAAAATGGATAATAAATTGCCACTTTTAAAGAAACGAACTAACACATCTTTTGGTCAATGATACCTACCATGTACGAAGGTAAAGTTTTCAGCGTCCCTGGTTCAGGGCGGTGTGTGAACGGGCCTTCAAGCACTCCTTGCTTAAGCATATGCAATAGCAGCTTTGCGTACAGGTTCCGATTCTTCCTGCCCATCAGTCCTGTCCCTGTGCCTGAAGGCTCACACAATTTTCTAATCCAAAGAGCACACCTCTGCCGTTCTATAAATACATAAAAATTGTTAGGAACTTGAATTTTTATAATATATCAAGTTAAAAAGACTTACAATAGCATCTGCTTTAGTTTAGAACACAGATTAGCAAGCTTTTCTGTAAAGGCCAGATAGCAAATACTTTGTAGGTTACCTGATCCCTGGCACAGCCAGCTACTCAACTCTGCCACTATGGCATGAAAGTTGCCACGGACCATATGTAAACAAATGGCATGGCTATGTTCCAATGAAACTTTATAGGAAAGGCTATGAGCTGGAGATGGGCCTCGGGCCTGCTGATTCCTGGTCTAGATTTAACTTTATTAGTTAATTGGTAATTTGGACAACACAAATGCAAAAAATATTTTCCCCAAAATAAAAGCTCTTGATTACTACCAAATAATTTCCGAGATAAATTCTGCTGTAATACTTCATCTCTAAAATTATTTTAGATATACTGAAAACTCTTTCTGGGGAAGCATTTGGCCTAGCAGTGAAGACTCCCACATTCCACGTAAGAGAGCACAGGGTTCAGTGCTTTGGCAGGATTCCCAATTGTAGCTTCCTGCTAACGTTCAAGCAGACGGGTCCTGGTCACCCACGTGGGAGACTTAGATTAGGATCCCAGCTTGGAGTTTCAGCTTAGGTGCAGTCCCAGGCAGAGCAGGCATTTGGGAGCTAAACCACAAAATGGAAATTCCAGGTCTATGCCTACTGATTAAAAAAACAAAAATTTATTTTAAAAAAAGAAAAATCTTTCCATAATTCTCATTATATGAACCCAGAGATAAAAAGCAATCTCTGATTTATCTAAGCATTTTAAACTTAATCTAAAATTAAATCTCAAGCCTTTTACTTATTAAAGCCAATAATTTCCAGGGATTTGCAGCTGATTTATTTAGAGTTTTCTTTTAACATTTCTAAAAATAATTGAGTGTTATTTACAAGTAATTTCATAAAATAATTATCCCTTCAAAAATCTACCTAAGAAATGCAGCACCGTTTAATCCATATGTAATGACCTATTGACTATATTATCCTGTCATGACCCAGGATTATTTTTGATTTCATGAAAACTATTCTGGTATTAATTTTTTATCAGTCTAACTCAATTTAAGGATTACATATCTAATACAAATCATAGCCTGCTCTAATCTCTTAGTTTATAAAGGTCATATTCATTTTTTGTTTAACCTACAAAATCCACTAAGGCTGGATTTATCACTTTGCAAATATCACTGCAGGTATGAGAGCTAGCCCTCTTGCTTTAAAAATTATAGAACTACAAAACAAATTTCATGAAATATTGGCCATCCATCGCACAAAAAATACAGAAATGAAACTGATAAAGTTTACAGTTTTTCAAACTACGTGTTTGCTACACATCCCTATAGCAAACTGAAATCTAATATCCCAGTGCTCAGAATTTGTTACAGTTTTGCTAGTGAAATAAATTCATTCTTGTACTTAAAATGACTCTGAAAGTAGAACTATGAGAAGACAAAAATTATCACAAATTTCTGGTTCTTAACTTGGATATTTTCACTATGAAATAATTAAATAAAAGAGGGTCACAGATGTATCAAAACTGATGATGTGTCATGAACCAAAGATAATCAATTTTATGTACCTAATTTATTATCAGGAGAAAATGAAATATAATAGTTTTTTGTGAAATACATCTCCATAATAGAAATTTTTAATACAAATTTTTCCTAGTCAGCAGACATAAGACAAAAGTTGGGGTGGGGGTATGGTGATTATCAAAAGAGACCGCAATACAGAAATATCGTTAGGGGCTGGTGCTGTGGCACAGCAGGTAAAGCCTTCGTTTGTGACACCAGCATCCAATCCAGTTCCCTCCTAATGTGCCTGGGAAAGCAGCAGAAGATGGTCCAAGTACTTGGGTCCCTGTCACTCACATGACAAGAATGGAGTTCCTGGCTCCTGGCTTCAGTTTGGCCTGGTCCCAACCATCACAGTCATTTGGGGAGTGAACCAGCAGACACAAGATCTCACTGTCTGTCTGTCTCTGTCTCTCTCTGACACTCTGCCTTTCAAATACATAAATCATTTTCTTAAAAAAAGAAATATCAGGAGCCGGCGCTGTGGCACAGTAGGCTAAGCCTCCTCCTACAGTGCCAGCATCCCATACGGGTGCCGGTTCCAGTCCTGGCTGCTCCGCTTCGGATCTGGCTCTTTGCTTACGGCTTGGGAAGGCAGTGGAGAATGGCCCAAGTGCTTGGGCCCCTGCACATACATAGGAGACCTGGAATAAGTTCCTGGCTACTGGCTTCAGATTGGCTCAGCTCTGGCCAGTGCAGCCATTTGGGGAGTGAACAAGCGGAAGGAAGACTTTTCTGTCTCTCCCTCTCACTGTTTGTAACTCTGCCTCAAATAAATAAAATCTCTTTTAAAAATCATTAAATACTAATTTGAATAATCATGAATGAGCCATGGAACTTGACATATTCATCTGAACAACAGCAGAGGAAGAAAGACAAGATAAAGGTATGACAAGGCAAGAGAAGAGGCAGAGGAAGGGGCCTCACGGGAAAACCATGCCAAGCTGTCCTGAACTAGAAAAGGTGGCAGCCCTAGAGCAATGGGTGACCACAGAACACATAAATCACACACCTTTTCCCAACATGGCTCCCTGAAATATCTAATGCTGAATCAGTTCTACACTTTGAACAGAGAATCAACTCAGACTCAAGGATACAGTGAACTGGAAAAAGGTAAAAACCATAAAAACCAATTTATTGGTCCAATGCAAATTCTCTACTTAGAAGCTACAAATCAGACACCCGTGTGCCTACTGTGACTTATAGAAACTCCCCAGTCCCCAAAATTCTCTAAAATTCTTTCTGATGCCTTAAATTGTCTGAAAATTCTCTAACTTGAGACGAAGACTCTAACGCCGTAACTAGAAATAACAGGCCAGGGGCTGGCACTGTGGCGCAGCAGGTTAAAGCCCCAGCCTGCAGCGCTGGCATCCCATGTGGGCACTGGTTTGAGTCCTGGCTGCTTCACTTCTGATCCAGCTCTCTGATATGGCCTGGGAAAGCAGTAGAAGATGGCCCAAGTCCCTGGGCCCCTGCTCCCTTGTGGGAGACCTGAAGAAAGCTCCTGGCTCCTGATCAGCACAGCTCCAGCTAACTGGAGAGTGAACCAGCAGATGGAAGATTCTTTCTTTCTTTCTTTCTTTCTTTCTTTCTTTCTTTCTTTCTTTCTTTCTTCCTTCCTTCCTTCCTTCCTTCCTTCCTTCCTCCCTCCCTCCCTCCCTCCCTCCCTCCCTCCCTCCCTCTCTGTGTAACTACGACTTTCAAATAAATAAATAAATCTTTAAAAAAAAAAAAAGAATGTAATTTTCAGAAGTAGGCATTTAGCCTACCAGTGAAGATTCCTCATTTCAGAAGTATCTGGCCCCAGCTCCTGACAGTGCAGACCCTGGGAGGCAGAGGCAACGACTCAGTAACTGGCTTCCTGCACCCACAGGAGAGAATTGGATTATACTCCCACCTACTGGTTTCAGGCCAGACCAGCCCCGGCAGCTATCTATCTTGCCCGCTCTATCTTTATCTCAAATTAAGTATTTTTAAAAAGAATCCAATGCTCAAACATAATCTTACCTGATCTATGAGGTAATTTTAGGACAAAGGGTTTCATATCCACCACAAAGTGATCAAATTCTGCATCCAACTTCTCCCATTTTTCTTCTTCACTTCCCATTTCTATTATCCAATCTGTAAAACATTTAAATTTAAAATATTAAGTATTTATATGCTGAAAATTATTTTTTTAAAAAAACTGATCTGCAACAGACCCTCTTAAGTGATTGATAGATATACCACAGACTTGGAAAAATATTTGTTAACCATACATCTCATAAAGGAATTAATCAAGAATATCTAAAGAACTCTCAAAATTCAGTCATAATAAAGCCCAACAATAATCAGCAAAAAAGTAACGCCCTTTACCAAATAAGAAATACAGATGACAAGTAAACACATGAAAAGATGCCCAACATCATTAGTCATTAGGAAAATACAAATTAACACTATAGTGAAAAGAAAAGCCCACAATGAGATACCACTACAAACTCATCAGGACAACCAAAATTTAAAACACAGTCCCTGCCACAGTCCCGTGTGGGAGACCTGGAAGAAGCTCCTGGCCATTGTGGCCATCTGGGGAGTGAACCAGTGGAGGGAAGACCTCTTCCTCTCCCTCTCTAATTCTGACTTTCAAACAAATAAATAAACCTTTTTTTTTTTTTTTTTGACAGGCAAAGTGGACAGTGAGAGAGAGAGACAGAGAGAAAGGTCTTCCTTTTGCTGTTGGTTCACCTTCCAATGGCCGCCGCAGCCAGCGCACTGCGGCCGGCGCACCGCGCTGATCCGATGGCAGGAGCCAGGTACTTCTCCTGGTCTCCCATGGGGTGCAGGGCCCAAGCACTTGGGCCATCCTCCACTGCACTCCCGGGCCACAGCAGAGGGCTGGCCTGGAAGAGGGGCAACCGGGACAGAATCCGGCGCCCGACCGGGACTAGAACCCGGTGTGCCGGCGCCGCAGGGTGGAGGATTAGCCTAGTGAGCCGCGGCGCCGGCCAATAAATAAATCTTTAAGACACATACACACACACACACACACACAAACAATACCAAATGCTGGTGAGGACACAGAACCACAGAAACTCTCGCACACCGCTGGTAGGAAAGCAGAAAGGTACAGCCAGTCTGGAAAACACTTTGGTAGCTTCCTATGAAGTTAAACCTATACTCATCACGTGGGCCAGAAACCCCACTGCCAGAAACTTACTTAAGTGAAATGAGAAATGACTCTTCACTAGAAATCTCAACGTGAGATTTACAGCAAGCTAAGTCTTTATTTCCTCACAGTCATAGAAGTCAACAGAGAGACTCATTCTCTCTTGCACACATTCACCCTGTTGTCTTTCATTTTCTCCATCCAACTCTGTCCAGGAGGGAAAACACTGCTGAGATGCAAACTGCCACTGTCCAACTACTGCCTCTCCAACTTCTTCCCCAAAACTATACACGGCTCCAACCGTCTGACTATGGTGCCTACTCCCCATTCCCTTCATCTGATAACAGCCTATTATCCTCTTAAACTCTCACTCCTCATTCCACCAGAGTATTTTTCTTTATACTCAACAAGAATCCTTAACACCCTCGTTCATTCACCAACCAAGGGATTGCCAGAAAAAATATCACCACCTTATACTAAGACAGCTTCCGATGTCCCCTGCACACTCAGGAGGCTTGAACTATTTCCTACTCCACAAAGTAGCTTCTCAAACTGTTACCAGATTATCTTAAAGCCCCTTAACAACTCCAGCCTCCTTACCCTTGGTTTTAAACGTCTGTGTGAATGGGGCCAGCATTATAGCTCTGTGGGTTAAGCCACCACCAGCAACGCCAGCATCCCCTGTGAGCACCTGTTGGAGTAACGGGTGCTCCATTTCCAATCCAGCTCCCTGCTAGTGCACCTGGGAGGGCAATGCAGGACGGCCCAAGTTCTTGGGCTCCTGCACCTATGTGGGAGACCCAGATAAAGCTCCCGGCTTCTTGGCTCAGCCTGGCTCAGCCCCAGCCATTGCAACCATTTGGGGAGTGAATCAGCATATGAAGATATTTCTCTCTAACTCACCCTTTCAAATAAATAAATAAATCTTTTTTAAAAAAAATTTAAGTCTGTTTTTTTAAAAGATAATGCTACCTAGATTATAAGTCAAAAATATTAGTTCTTCATAACTCACAGAGCTGTTTTTGGTCTTTGTTATCTCCTCCTTGACGGCAACATCTTCTTTATCTCCCATTCCCTGAACCTCCATAAACCAATATATCAACACATACCCAGAAATATCTCAAATTCTGCTGGCTTTCTCTTCTAACAACCATTATCACAGATAAAGACCTCCCACCCCACCACTCAGCTTACAGCAACAGCCTCAAAAATCTATCTTCTGGGGCAGACATTTAGCCTAGCAACTAAGCCGCCTGCCCCCACATTTGATCCCTGGCCCCAGCAGACCCTGGGGGTGGGGGTGATGGATCAAGTAATTGGGTTACTATCACCCACTTGAGAGACCTGGATTGCATTTCCAGCTCCCAGCTTCAGCCCAACCCAGTCACTGCAAGCATCTGGAGAATGAACCAATGGATGGGAGCACTTTGCTCTCACACCACAAGCCCTTTTTTTTTTTTTTTTTTTTTTTTGACAGGCAGAGTGGACAGTGAGAGAGAGAGAGAGACAGAGAGGACAGACAGAAAGGTCTTCCTTTTCCGTTGGTTCACCCTCTAATGGCCGCTACGGCTGGCGCACCGCGCTGATCCGAAGGCAGGAGCCAGGTGCTTCTCCTGGTCTCCCATAGGGTGAGGGCCCAAGCACCTGGGCCATCCTCCACTGCACAGAGAGCTGGCCTGGAAGAGGGGCAACTGGGACAGAATCCGGCGCCCCGACCGGGACTAGAACCGGGTATGCCGGCGCTGCAAGGCGGAGGATTAGCCTAGTGAGCTGCGGCACTGGCCACCACAAGCTCTTAAAAAAAAAGGCTCTGTCTCCATCCTGTCAGTTTTCTCTACATGAATCCCTTTCCCTCACTGGTACCAAAATTAGTTTCCTCATTACAAAGCTAAAGAAGTCTGTGATACCACTGCTGGATGTTAGCCCATACATTTTAAAAGCAACTATTCCAGGCCGGCACTGTGGCATAACAGGTAAAAGCCAGCGCCTGCAGGGCCGGCATCCCATACGCGTGCTGGTTCCAGTCCTCGGACACTTACACCCGGAGTGGGAGACCGGGAAGAAGCTCCTGGCTCCAGACTTCAGATCAGTGCAGCTCCGGCCGTTGTGGCCAATTGGGGAGTGAACTGGCGGATGGAAGATCTCAAGATCTCTCTCTCTCTCTGCCTCTCCTGCTCTATGTAACTCTTTCAAATAAATAAATAAATAAATATTAAGGAAAAAAACTATTCATATGAATGAGCAAACCAAGGGAAACTCATGAACTCAGGATTTCAAGCACAGGTCTGGCCTAGATGCACTCCTGCCCATGGACTCAAACATTTGCCTGAGTGCATCCACAGCTATAGCTAAGGCAAAGAAGATTTCTGGTAATCGCTACTTCTCAGTAAATCCTTTGACACCAGCAGGAAATGTTAGTGTTTAATGTTAGAGGAAACTAAAACTCAACAGTTAAATAACTCACCCCAAATCATGAAATTAAGCAGAAAGCTGAGATTAAAATCCTGAAATCCCTAGGTCTCCAATCCATTATATCTGACCATTTGGCCATTTACATATAAGTCAGCAACATCTCCAACTAATAAAAAAATTATTTTGAAAAACAGAAAGGCAATTTTTAATTGCTATACTGAAACGCAATACTAGAGTACATTTAAAAGAAAAACAAGATGGTCAAGTAAAAGCTTTTGGTAAAAGCTAAAAATCTGCTTCTCTTCCCCTTATTCTCAAACAAAATAAATGGAAAAAGCAACAAGAAATGAGTTAATATTTCAAACCCTCAGGGAATGTCTGGTACACAAATTACATAGTATACACATAAATTATTTAGTTCCAGCTGATAAACGTTTTACACGTCACCAGAACTGAAGACTAAACTAACAGAACTGAAAAATAAGTAAAGCTACACCTTCACCGTACTTGTGGAGTGCCTAGTACATAAACTCCTCCGAGTGTGTCTGGTCCTTGTATGCATTACGCCAGAAGCAAAGAGGGCGTGAACCGGGTGACCGCCGCTAGCAGCAGCAACCCGTAGTAGGTCACGTCGCCTCTTAAGCCTGTCTCTTCGTGGACAACTACAAAGTGGGCTAAGACCTTCTCACGGGGTTTAGCCGACACGGGAGTCGGCAGAGCTTCAGCAAGCTACAAACACTCCCAGGCTCGGGTGGGGCGGGGTGGAAACGAGCCACAGTGCGCAACCGACAGAACACGTCGTGGACAACACGGCCCTCGCCAAACGCAATGTTCCTCAAGTCCCACTGTGCTTAATCAACTTAGACTCGAAATAGAGTGTGGGTCATTAAAAAAAAAAAAAAAAACTTCGGCCTGTCAAAGACCATAAACAGGTTGACAGGTGCAGGTTCCACCTGTCCTAAGCCAGCGGCTTTTTCCCCTACCGTGCCGGGGGCAGGTGCGCCAGCAGCGCGGCCGCGGACCCTCGGAGGGCGACGGCCGGCCCCGAACGCGGTGCACCAACCACCGGGCCCCGCGCCGGCCCCGCAGCACCTCACTGCCCTCTCTCCGGGCCTCGCCTGCGCAGCCGGCGGCCTCGAAGCTGTTCTCCCGGCCGCTGCTTCTAGAAGCCGCCTGGCGTCGGGGGCCGCCCCGGCGCGGCGCTGCCAGCTCCCGCATCCCTCCCGCGACCCGCAGGCCGCCGAGGCCCAGGCCGCGCCCCCAGCCCGCCCGGGACACGGATTTCCTCTCACAGCCGCCAAGCCCCCCGGACCACCTCGAGCTGCCCAGAGCCGTCGGCGGACCAAACTTTTCTCAGAAGCTTCCCAACCCGACCTCCCAAGCCCGGTGCCCGGACTGGAATTCGCTCGGCAGCCACACTGGCCGGCTGCGCCGAGACCCCCGGCCGGGGCGCGCGCGCCCCCACAGGCCTGAGAACGGGCCCGGGGCCTGCGGGGCGACGCCCGCACGGACCCCCGCGCAAAATTCCACTCGAGAACCTGGGAGGTGAGGGAGTGAGGACTTGGCAAACGAGAACCCGGCGCCCCTACACGCGAGCTTTCAGGTCGGCCGCCGTCGCCGCCGCCAAACGGTTTCAAATCCTTGCGGGCCGCTGGGTCGCCACCGCCCAGCAGGCCGGGGGCGGAGACTTCCGTGCTCGCCTGTCCCCGCCCCCTGCCCCACCCCTCCGGCCTCGCTGTTGCCATGGCGACGGCCCCTGTGGTGGGGGCTGCTACCACCGCCCCTCTCCACCCGGGACCGGGATTTCCGCCCTCCCGCCGATCCCTGCCTTCCGGCCAGGGCCAGCGCGCGGCGTCGTTGTCATGGCAACCCTCCCGGCGGCCGCTGCCGAGGCCTAGCGGGCCTGAGGCCGTGGTCGGCGCGTGGTGGCGTTGTCATGACGACGCTCGGGGCAGCAACGACCACCGCCCAGCCAAACACAGACTTCCGCTCTGGTCTGCCTGCCCTCCCCGGCGGCGGTTGCCATAGCAACGCCTCGACGTGCCGGGTAGTGGCCAGGCTGCCCGCTCGGCCGGCTCTAGGCGGGTCCCGGGTCGAAGCCGCCAGGGTGACTCGATCTTTTTTGGCTGGACGGGGGCATCCTGAGCTCAGAGGACATTGTGAACCTTCAGGGCTCGTGGAGAAAAAGCGAGAGCCAGCAAACTGAGATGGCGGTGGGACCCCAACAGACAGCACGGCTGAACGGGGCTAAACAGTGCGCATTCGCCCCTGGCGTCTCACACTCAGAGGCCAATGCGTGTTCACCAGCAACATATACAGGCAATCCTTTGTGTGAGTGTGCATTTGAAGCTACCTGAGGCCAGGGGAAAAAAAAAAAGCCCAGAAGATCGTGGAATAAAATAAAAAGGCTTTAGGTTTACCGACTCCGTGGAGAAAAGTAACATCAAGTGGAAAATGTATTTTCGCTCCTGCCAGGAGGTCTCCTGCCCCTCAGGGCAGTCTGCTGTCTGCTTTGCCATGTTGCGCTGTTCTTTGGTTTTCTATTCTGTTTCTGGAAAAGCTCTGAATTACGTTTTTTAAAATACTAAGCAGAAACAGAATTTAAATTGTAAAAACACTCACTTAAGTGAAATTCAGTTTACTCCTGTTTTTCATCTAATTTCACAATAGGATTCTTTCCAAAGTATCTTTGCAATACACTCAGTGTGGTGCCAAACCTAATATTAAGCACAGCTTGAAGCATCTTTTCAATTTTCCATAAAGTGGGGGATTCATTCATTCGTATCTAGTTACTTTCAAGTTTCATATTCTTTTCAAGGTGTTTTTGCAAATCCGTCTCCACTGCAAGTAAACACCAACAGTTCTTGTTTCAGAGACAAATTATGCTAAGGAACAGAAAGGGTAGGAATGCTTTTAAGAGTGTTTATCTTTACATATTTAGAGTTAAGGAATGATCCATAACCAAGATCATTTGCACTGAGAGTCAAAGATGTAAAACCCATTCTGTCTCCCTGTGTGTGACTCAGCCTTTTAAATAAAATGAACATAAAGAAAAATTTTAATGTTTTTAATTGTAGCAATGTAGAACTATTGCAATGGTTATCAGGCAATTGTTTCAAACTCACGATGAGTACTCAAGAATTAGTTATTGTTTCAACTCACAATGAGTACTCAAGAAATTGTTATGAAGAGAAATGCAATTTTTGATCTTAGCCTGAAATCTTTCAGTTGTATATTTTGTTCAGATCATAAAAGCTTTCATGCTATTATAGGGAAAAGATTTAAAAAAAGAATATTATGGGCCAGCATTGTGGCATAGTAGATTCAACTGCCACCTGCAATGCCACTATCCCTTATGGGTGCCAGTTTGTGTCCTGCTTGCTCCACTTCCAACCCAGCTCCCTGCTAGTGTGCCTGAGAGAGACATGGAAGATGGCCCAAGTACTTGAACCCCTGCACCCACATAGGAGATCCAAACTGAGTTCATGATTCCAAGCTTCAGCCTCTGGAGAGTGAACTAGCAGATGGAAGATCTCTTTCTTTCTGTCTCTCTCTCTCGCTCTGTTTTTTACTTGATTTTCAAGTTTTTTACTTGATTTTCAAGTAAAAAACAAAAGAAGGAAGGAAAAAATTATGTGTAATCTTGCTATTAAGGAATAACCACTATTAATATGTTTTATATATTACCCAACCTTTATGACTATTTTTAGTGTCTACTTATTATTCCATCACTTGGACATAACATAGCTTGCTTAATTATTCTCTTGTGGCTACCAATTTTGCTCTTATAAATATTGCTGCAATAAATGCCTTTACAAATATACATATTTGTTGAAGTTTCAGTTATCTCCATAAAAGAGATTCCTATGGGCATAAAAAAAGCATTAAGGCTTTTGATCAGTCGTGCCAAATTGCTTTCTAGAAGTGTTTTTGCAAATTTGCAATCCCACTCAACAGTCTATGAGAGTGACTTTCTCACATTAGCAATTTCTTTATATCAGTTCTAGCTGTATGTAAGAAAAAAAATGGGAGCAGGCATTTGGTGCAGTGGTTAAGCTGCTTCTTGGGATGCCTAAATCTCACTCACAGTGCCTGGTTTCAGGTCCAGGCTGTGCTCTGGATTCCAGCTTCCCACTAATGCACACCCTGGGAAGCAGAGGGTGATGGCTCCTTTATTTGGTTCCTTGCCACTCTAAGTCAGAGCTCTTGATTGAGATCCTAGCTCCTGGCTTAAGGTTGGCCCAGTTTTATCTGTTATGGGCATTTGAGAGTGAATGTACATATAGGAGCTCGAGCGCTCACTCTCTCTCTTTCTCTCTCTCTCCTTTCAAATTAATTAAATAAGATTTTTTTTAAAATAGTATCTCTTTAATTTACATGTCCTACTATTAGGAAGGTTGAAATATTTAAATATCTCTGTTACTGTTTTCTTTTCTATTATTCTGCAAACTGTCTTTTTGCCCTTTGTTTTTGTGGAATTGACTGATAGATAACTTTCATATTTTTAATTTCTTGTATCAAAACTAGCAATGGCTTTGTACAAGTACTTATGTAAAAACTTATAGTAATCAAATTCAGTTAGTGATTAACCAGTTTTGCATTATTAAAATACTTTGCTTCTTTAGAATGAAATAAATGAATGATTTAGCTATCTAGACAGAACATCATTTATAAATATCTAGAATTATTCCTGTGTTATTACTGTGTAAATACATCAAAGACAAACATGAGAACAATCTGTAACCAATAAATTCCTTAAGTTGGATACTAGATGATTTGTCACTTTCTACTTGCAGACCACAAAAGCATAAATTATACCACCAAGAGATGCCTATAAAGGGAGTTTCTTCACTACTAAAAAAAGTTACTGCTTTTAGCAAAGTGCTTCTGGATTCTTCCATAAGCCAGAACTATGCAATATTCACTATTTCATCCCTACTCCTGTTTGTTTATTCTATCCTACCTTCTGGGATGAATTCAAGTAAAGCCTATTTGCAGAGATACACTAGTTGTTCTTCTTCCTTCTCCTTTAATAATATACATGTTTTCCACACTCATTAACAACCAAGTAGTGGCCGGCGCTATGGTGAAGCAGGTAAAGCCGCTGCCTGCAGTGCCAGCATCTCATATGGGTGCCGGTTTGGGTCCCGGCTGCTCCACTTCCAATCCAGCTCTCTGCTATGGCCTAGGATAGCAGTAGAAGATGGCCCAAAACCTTGGGCCCTGCACCCGCATGGGAGACCCAGAAGAAGCTCCTGGCTCCTGGCTTCAGATCAGTGTAGCTCCAGCCATGCAGCCAACTGGAGAGTGAACCAGCAGATGAAAGATCTCTCTCTCTCTCTCTCTCTCTCTCTGCCTCTCCTTCTCTCTCTATGTAACTCTGACTTTCAAATAAACAAATCTTAAAAAAAAAAAAAAAAACTAGCAGGGCGCTTCCTAGCCTCCCCAATTCAACAATCTTTCCTACCAAGCAGTGTCAGAACTAACCTGAACATTCTAAGTTCAGAGTTTGAGTATTTCCTAGAAGCCTCTGGAAAAGTCACAGCATAACTAGAAGTGGAAGAATTGTACAAAAGACATAGCCTGAAGTTAGGATATCCGGTTTTGTCACCTAGTAGGTTTGTGATGTGGATGAACCAAGTGACATAACCACCTGAGGCTTCAGTTTCTTTATCTTCTTTTTAAGGTGACAAGGAAGATGGAATTAAGAGAGGTGAGATAATGTATATGGAAAATCTGCCCAGTGTCTGGACTTTGAAAAGTAATAAATGCCACTAGGAGGCAGCAATAGCACACAAGGAACTAATTATCACACACACACATACACACACACACACACACCCATGCATGCATATGAGCACATGATCACACACAGAACACAAACATTAAAACCACATACAAGCCGGTGCCGTGGCTCACTAGGCTAATCCTCCGCCTTGTGGCGCCGGCACCCCAGGTTCTAGTCCCGTTCGGGCCGCCGGATTCTGTCCCAGTTGCCCCTCTTCCAGGCCAGCACTCTGCTGTGGCCAGGGAGTGCAGTGGAGGATGGCCCAAGTACTTGGGCTCTGCACCCCATGGGAGACCAGGATAAGTACCTGGCTCCTGCCATCTGATCAGTGTGGTGCGCCAGCTGCAGTGCGCCGGCCACGGCGGCCATTGGAGGGTGAACCAATGGCAAAAGGAAGACCTTTCTCTCTGTCTCTCTCTCTCACTGTCCACTCTGCCTGTCAGAAAAAAAAAAAAAAAAAAACACATACACGGGCATAACATACCGATCACAATACACCTAAACACACACAGGACAGTGCTCACAGACTTGCACACCAACCACATACACATACGTACACACTGACACACACATGCACACACTCCAAGCTATTTTATTTCCTTTCCTTTCCTTCTTGTATGTTTTTAATCTTCTGCTTATAAATTAAAGCAGGGATTGACCTTAGGCTAGTAGATAGGAAATGTCATTGACCAATACTTCTTCTTTTTTTTTTTTTTTTTTTTTTTCATTTGAGTGGTAGAGCTACAGAGAGAAAGGTCTTCCATCCACTGGTTCACTCCCCAAATGGCTGCAACAGCTGGAGCCAGGCCAATCCAAATCCAGGAGTGGGAGCTTCCTCTGGGTCTCCCACATGGGTGCAGGGGCCCAAGAATCGGGCCATCTTCCACTGCTTTCCCAGGACATAGGCAG